TATTATAAAAACATTACTTAGAATTCAAATCGAGACTACAAACCATATTTTTATTTACAAACATTTGTAAAAAGTTTACTATTTGGTAGAGTTATACAAAATTTATTTATTTCCTTAAAGTTAAAAGACAACTCTTTTGTTATGCTTGTAGAAAGATAGGCACAAGGTTATAGATTACACAGCTTCTAAATGGCAGACCAAAATTCCATTCAGATGCTTGTGTCTAGGAATTCATGGTTAAATCATCAGTCATGTTTCTTCTTTAAAAAAATGTATTATGCATTATTATAAAGGTTACATGCAGAGGGGTTTCATGTTTCTTTTAAAATCATATTGTATAATTATCACATAATCCTATATATTCTAAAAATGCTACCTTAACTTTATACTTGAACAGACCAAGAAAATACACCTATATGTTCTAAATTATTTTCTCAATTCATTCATTCAATAATCACTTACTAAGTCTCCTGTGCCAAGGAAACAGAAAGATTAATGAATTTTTTAAAAAAAGCCTCAGCTTCTCCTTAAACACTTTATAAATTAGTGATGAAACAGAAAGTGACAAAATAAAACAAAAATATAGCATGACAAAATAATGTAAACTCACTCAAGTAAAAACCATCTCTATGTCCCTATTCTCAAGAAGTTCATGATTTGGAAGAGGGAAAATTATGTAACTAAACAATTGTCTGACACATTAAATTCTGTAGTAGAAGCAGATTTGCAGAAACTGGCAAGGATTGAAGAAAGAGGGGACATGAAGTTTTGTTTTAGAAAGGTCATTCTAAAGGGCAGGGAATAATATAACTGAAGTTATAACCACTAACCCATTAGCAGATGCCTTAAAATGCACAGATAATAGAGTTTGGATTAAAGAAATGGCAACAAAGGGTTAAAGGTAAGTTTTGGTATGGTACTAAAGGACATCACCCCATCCTTCATCGAGTTATGGTAATGGCAAATGAGTACAACAAAGTTAGAGATAGTTTGTAAATACCAGGCAGGAAAAAAAAATGGTAGAGAAGACCATTTGGAATATGTGTAAAATCCTGGCATCCTGCTAAAGAATTTGTCCTTTGGAACCACTAGAATATTGGAAAGGGTATGTTCCAATCCTTGCAACCTGTAAAAAGGTTATCTTACCATGTAAATGAGACTTTGCAAATGTAATCAAAGTTACAGACCTTTGGGAGATTGAACTTTGGAAAGGACATTTTAAAGGGTATGATTGTAGAAACATAAGGACTGAGGAAGAGGAAGGAGAAATTACAATTAACAGAGGGTCTCAAGTCATAGTTACTGACCAGATGATAAAGAAGGCTTTAATCCAAGGAGTGTAGGTAGACTCTAGAACAATCCTCAAGAATAAACAAAACTCTAAACAGTGCTTCAGCAGCAAGAAACCTGAACAATCAAAACAAAAACAAAACAAACAAATAAAAACTCCAGAAAGGAAAACAGTACTGTTGATAGTTTCTTTTCTTTTCTTTTTTTGTTGGTCGATTGGCCTGAATGTGGGCCTGGGCACTGTCCCTCAGCTCTTCAGCTCAAGGCTAGCACTCTACCACTTGAGCCACAGCTCCACTTCTGGCCTTTTCTTGCTTATGTGGTGCTGAGGAATGGAAAGCAGGGTCTCATGCATGCTAGGCAAGCACTCTACCATTGAGCCACCGTCCTAGCCCTGATACTTTGATTTTAGCCCATTGAGACTCATAGGGGGCTTATGACCTGCAGAACTAAGAAGTAATAAATTGGTGTTATTTTTGAACTGCTACCTCTACAGTAATTTGTTATGGCAGCAAAAGTAAAATAAAATATGATCTATGTCTAACTGTTTCTTAAAAGACTCAAATATATTGATTTAAGAACAATGTAATATGCTAATTTAAGCTTAACTTCTTAAAGTCAGCAATTTTAAAGTATGTTAGGGGCATAAATCAATGTCTTCTTTACATTTTTATTATTAAATTCCTTAGAATTTAAAAGTTGCTAAAAGGCTAAAAGAGGTTATAAAATGTTATTATAAATTTTAATCTTTTTATATGTAAAGGTAATTTTTTTTACATTCTTACAGTTAATGAATAAATTACTTTTATTTTTAACTTACACCTACCAGTTAAGTTTTAAAAGGACTCTTTCCTGGCTTATCTACAGGAAAATTCTAGATTTAAAACAACTAATGTGGTAAACTTTCAAAAGCAAAAATCACTATACTTATTTGCTACTTATTATCTCTGAATTGATGCTCATTAGCACCTGGAAACAGGACTATGTCTGCCTTCTCTCTGGTTTATTATTTTCTCAAAACACTCCCATGATATTATTGGCCTCCAGAAGGATTTTATTAAATAAAAAATAAATGTAAAGCAAGTATCATGATACTGGAAACAGTTTTTCTGAAACTTCAGCTTATAAAACTAGAGGCATACTATACTTAGATTAAATTCAGAACTTATTTTTAAACATTTTCAGCAGAAATCGTAATTTTTTACCCTTCCTTTTATTTTTAATCAGACTCTTTAACATAATCCAGATTTTCTAATAAAATGGTTTTTATTTTTATCAATAAAAACTTGCATGTTCATATGACTACTTAAAATTTCATGAACTGGAGTTGCTTTCTGAAAATGTCCTTTATGTCTGTCTTTTTTTTTTTTTACCTTTGTCCTGTGCTCATAAAACTTATGTGCTGTACTTAAAGTAAGCCTTTTTTATTCAGGTTTATTATAAGTAGTTTTGACCAAGCTTGGTGAAAAGGCAAAAGAAAAGAGAGAGAGAAACAAAGAAAGAAAAATTTAAATGAAAATTAAATTTCAAAAACAAAAAATTTAAATTTTGCAAAGTTCGGTGGAAACTCTCATTTGTGCATTATCATTAGTAGTGTTAAATTGTGGTATGATCCAGTGTCCTTAACTTTGTGAAAATACAACTCTTAATAACGACATGGCAAACCCAAGGCAAGATAAAAGCTAATATGCTTTTTTTTTTCTTTTTTTTTTTTTTTTTGCCAGTCCTGGTGCCTGAACTCCGGGCCTGGGCACTGTCCCTTAGCTCTTCAGCTCAAGGCTAGTGCTCTACCACTTGAGCCACAGCACCACTTCCAGCTTTTTTTTTTCTGCTTATGTGGTGCTGAGGAATCGAACCCAGGGCCTTATGCATGCAAGGCAAGCGCTCTACCACTGAACCACCTTCCCAGCCCCAAAAGCTAATATGCTTAATTTAAGCAATAAAATGAAATTTCTAGACTGGTTGAAAGGCAGTATGCCTTTAGCAGGAGTTGGGAAGCATTATGGGACAAATGAAGCAAGTATCTACGGTACAGTACTGAACTCTATGCATTGAGTATTCTTGGATTTTCCTCCAATAAATTCTCTTAGACACTGGGACACATTTGTATATAACCTGAGAAGCGCAACACGACCGCATTCCTTCACAACTGCTAAGAGAAGAACCTGCTCTTCTGAAAAGACAATTCCTTACTGTCTAGAACAGCAGCATCCAATATAAATATAGTGGGAATCACACATAATTTTGAATTGTCCCAATCATTTTCAATCCCATACATCATCTAGTACCTATTCCCTGCCCTATCTTTCACTGTGCCTCTTTAACTTAGTGCGGGCCTCGATTCTGACTCACTACATCCCATATGGCTAGTGGCCACCATACCCAACAGAGCATCTGCAGAAAAATCTGCCCTTCCGTGAACTCTACACCCTACCAAAGTGTAGCCCCTGGTACTGCTGGTTCCGCTGGTGGAAAGGACTTCGCTTGGCTAATCCTAGAAGAACCTTCCTCTTCCTCTTCTGACCTATTTCTTCCTCAACATCCGCTGAAGGCCAAGATGAGCACATTCTGGGTGTAACTGCTTAGTGTACACGTGGACAGAGACCATTAAGACATTTTCTTCCATCCGTAAGGTTGCATGATTTGAGTAACTCAGGTGCACGGAGTAACCCTGAAACCAAATACAAATAAAAGGTTGGGGAAATATCCCTGCAAAGATGCTCCCACGGGAAGCTTCCAGCGTTCTACCAGAGTTGTTTCGAGGACTGGTGGCTTCTTGGAGGGGACCAGGTGAGGGTGTCAGGGGTCAAAACAAGCCCACAGAGCCTTCAAGAGACCCCTCCTCGTGGAAGCATTGCTACCTGGCGTCATGCAAAGCTGATCACAATCCACCAGGGATGAGCCATTCACGCCACGGAGGCAGTGGGGATCCCAGCCCTGCCACTGCCTGAGGAGTCTTTCCCCTCCGCCCCCCATCCCAGAAACCCCACCACCATTTTCCCTGGGTACCCTGTACTCCGGGGTCCAGACCTGAGACCTGGGGCGCCTCCAGGCGCGAACTCTGCAGCCTGGTGCCCAGGGCGGTGGATTTACCGGGTCCCTGCGACCCCAGCCCTGGAGGGGCGGACTGACCCGTCCGGACACCAGCCCTCTTCTCCCCCGCCCTGCCGAGCCCGCCACACGGCCCGGACACGCGCCTCCGTGCACAAACCCCGGGCTCGCTTCCACTCGAGGCGACCCCTCAGCAAGCCCGCCTCCCAGGACCAGCAAGGAGAGCCGCGGGTGCGGAGGCGCCCGGCCTCCACCCGGCGGCGCTAACCCGGCGCCCCGCAGCGGCGTCCGCACACCCCAGGCAACCTGCCTCCCTTCTGGGAGCCGGGGCACCCGCGCGACCCTGCGGCCACCTCAGCCTCTTTACGCCCGGCCCCTGACTCGGGGCTGACCGGTTCGTGGCTGTCCCGCCAATCAGAAGACAGTTGCTCCGACCAATCAGCGCGCGTGGAGTGTCTGCTTCGGCCCTTCGGCTCTCGGGCTCCGGGCTCCTGTTCGGCCGCTCGGCTGCTCGGCTGCTCGGCCGCTCGGCTGTCGGAGTCCTTCCTAGCTGGGCCCTCCCGGGCCTTCCCCACGCACTGCAGCTCCGTGGAGTCATTTCCCTTTCTTTCTTTTCTTTTTTTTTTTCTTTCTTCTTTTTTTAAGACACTTCCGGGTCCTCTGTCGCTCCGGAAGCCCGCGAGTTCCGGAAGCTTCGAGAACCTATTTTCTAGTAGGAAAAGCCAAGCTTGCCAGAAGATGTTGTTTGAGGAAAAGTTGGCCGGCGCCTAAGGTCAGTGTGCGCGCGCGCGCGGAGGAGCGGCGTGCGGCCGAGGCCCGGCGCGGGGCCGGCGGGCTCGCGGCTCCCTCCGCCCGCCGAGCCGCACTGCTGATTGGCTTCCTGGAAGCAGCGGAGCGGGAGCCTTGGCTGTCGGGAAAGGCAATAATAATCCTCAGACGGCTGCTCCCCAGCGCCCTTACGATCGCGCCATGAAAATAAACAACAGCAACCCGGGAAAAGAAGCAGGAACACGGGTGGGGTGTAGCCTCCCCACGATCCACGCCTTAGTTATCCACAGAGACCAGGCCGGGGGCTCTTCTCCCGCCCTAGGGGCCGGGGCGGCGTGCGCACCCTGGCGGGACCTGGCCCGGCCCGGGATGGAGGGCGGTGGGTTGGAATACTGGGTGCTCGAGCATGAAAATGGCACCGCCTGGTAGATCTGATGCATGCGGCTTTTTCCCCCAAGCTTTCCATTGTATTGAAGGCTCCTGCGTTGAGAAGGATCCTATTTGCCCCCCTCCCAAAAAAACACACAATTTAAGCAGTTTGAGTTTTCTTAGGAGGAAAGAGACACTGAAAAATTTTTTTTTTTTGGTCGTAACAAAATTGGTAAGGGAAAAGTCTATATTATGGATCCCGATGATAGTGAACCAGCCATTTGAGAGTTCCTTGCTAGTGTTTTGCTTCTGGATCCTAAAAAGGGGTGTGTGTGTGTGTGTGTGTGTGTTTACATGTTGGTTTGGGTGCTCATTTTCCACAAACTGAAATGGTAGTGGCAGCAAAGACTTGGCACAAAATGAGACACAGTTGAAAGTTCAAATCCAACATGTTCTGGCATTCTTCTTTGGCACCTTGGGTCAGACTTTTATCTTGACAATTGTAAACACTTTCAGAGCTATAGATGCCTCGCCTACCCTTCAGTTGGTAGTCAAAACACCTTCCACGAATGGGGTACCTACAGTTAAACCAGAACAGAGTGAACGTGGCACAGTAAGCCTTTCTTTTTTCTTTGCCTTTTGTATTCTTAACTTCTCTTATCTCCCCTGTTATCTTCAGTTACTGGTATCCAGAGTTCAATGACCTTAAACTAGAAGATATGAAAAGGTAGTAGAAGTCCACATCAAAATGAGAATGTCAGTTTTGTTTTTGGTGTTTTTTGGTTTTCTTAAAAACAACAGAAAGGAAAAGAAGTCAAAAGTTTCAGGACCCAGTAGAGAAGAATACTAAAATTCAAAGGATTGGATTCTAGTCCTGATTCTGGTTTGCCATGGGCCAACTTTACCTTCTGGCCTAATTCTCATTTTTTAGGAATTAGAAGTAGCACTCAATCTGTGGTTTTAAAATTGTTCCATAAAAGAACTTTTGTAGAAATTTCCTGGAGCCATGCAGGGAGAGACAAAGCAAGCAGACTTTCAACTGTATTTTAACAAGAACAGCTATTTATGTGTTTTACTTTTATAGCGGTGTTCCTGTTAAGAAAATTTAACATGAATCTTAGACTAGATGATCTGTCCTTCCTTCTAACATGAAAGTTAATGATACACATGTACATTTGATTATTGTAGTTTTCTAGAATTACCTGTGAATTCACAACTGGTCTATATCTAACAGATACAAGTGTCCATATTTGATTTCATTTCTTTTATAGATGTACATTTCATATTTAATTCTGTTTATGAACAGAAATCTAACTTCTTGTGTTTCTCCCTTTCTCATGTTCCTTTATTTTATCAAGAAAAATCTGGCTTAAATTACTGTTTATCATAATCTTTAGAAGAGGGAGGGGGTAGGTATTGTCCATTTTATACCTTCAATAAATGAACCTGAAAGATATTGGTGGACCTTTCCATCATCACATCTCTGGGAAAGATCTGAGTTCTAGCCCCATGTTTTCTTCACAGCACAATTTTTTGTTTGTTTGTTTTTGTTGGTTGTAGATCTTGAACTCTGGGCCTGGGCCTTGTCCTGGAGTTCTTTAGCTCAAGGCTAGTGCTCTACCACTTGAGCCATAGTGCCTCTTCAGGTTTTCTAGAGATTTATTGGAGATAAGAGTCTCATTGACTTTCCTGCTGGGGCTGGCTTTAAAATGAGATCCTCAGATCTCAGCCTCCTGAGCAGCTAGGATTACAGGTGTGAGCCACCAGCCCCTGGCTTCATAGCACAATTTTAAAGTTTCTATTGCTCTTGCACACCCTGTGAAGGAGTTACTACTACAAAAGGAAAATGTGTGTCATATCCACAATTTCTGTTTCTGTTTTGAATGATTCTATTCAAAATTGCTTCCTCCCTTGATGATCTTGGTTAGACACCAAACAGCATGTTATCTGCTCCCTTTATCTTTTCCTGAGATTTCATCACAAGTTTCTCATCATTTATGTCCCTTTTCCATTCTTTTAGAATATACAGGAAACTGCTCTCCATTTGTGAACATGACTGGCACCTTAAGCCCAGCTCTATGGTCTCTACCTATGGTAATGGATGTAGGGACAAGGATGTATGTCTAACATCATCTGTCCTTCCCAGCACTGGCTGTTGATCTTTTCCATATATTCCCAAGCAGAATGCTCTTTTCTGTATTACTTTTCACTCTACTCTACTTTTTATCTGTGCTCTCCCTATTTACTTGCCTGCCAATAGGGGAAATAAAATTCCATCCACATTGCATTTCCTTATTATTAAAACACAAAAATCCAGAGCTCTTGAGTAATGGTTTTAAGCATGACTGAACTCCCCTTCTAGTGGATAAGTTGGCATCACACTATTTTGCAAATAGTGGGTGCAGTAATAGTTAAAGGACTACCTCATTGTTTCGCCCACCTATTTATTCCCTTTGTTCAGGTTTGACATTTAAGCCCTTTGGCTGTCCTTTGACCACATATATAAAGGGTCAGGGAGTATAGATGAGATGAAACCTGGGAATCACAGACTCTATTACATGCCTTTCACTTCTTTCCCCTATCTGTAGTTCCGAGTGTGTGGCGGCCTCTCTTGTCTGTAGGATAATCCCTGAGGGGGATTTGTTTTGCATTCTATGGAATTAAACTTGGTCCACAGTTAGCAGGGACTAGTCTATTAACTTCCTTTCTTGTTCCACAGTTTTTCTAGTCTTCATCCAAAATATATTCATTGGTAGCTTAACCTTATAGATAGATAGTTAAATCTCCCCAAGCATTAATTTTTGTCTTCTTATAAGCCAAACACAGATGTCTCACACCTACAATCCTAGCTACCCAGAAGGCTGAGATTCAGAGGATCATAGCTGGAAGCCAGCTCTGGCAGACAAGCCCACTCGACTCTATCTCCAAAATCACTACAAACAAAAGCAAGGCTGGAGTATAGCTCAAGTAGTAGGGCATTGACAAGCAAACACACTGAGTGAGTATAAAGCTCTGAGTTCAAGCCCTAGAGCCACCAAAAATAAAATAATAAATGCAAGACAATAAATAAGCAAATAAGAATAGGGATGATAATACCTATTGTGCTGTCAGATTCAGTAAAAAGAATGAAAAGAAAATATATACTATCTGATCAGTAATATTTCTCAGTAATATTCCTTTGGGAATCCAACTTGATTCCTTTGGGGATTATTTGTATATTCTGTTGTACCACATAAGGTATAAGTAAATGCATGTTCCAATAATTTTCAAGTCATTTGGAATGCTACTCAAGTATTTGGTTATAAAGAACCTTCCTACATGTCTATTATTTTGTTTGTTCATTCTTGAAGGAGGATTTTTTGCAATAGTTCATGTCCTTTAAAGAAACTCCTTGTGCCGTTTGGTACCATCTTAAAGTAGTTGTTTACCTTGTATTCCCACCATCTTGGCAATGGCTCTGCCACTTGTAACCATGTGATTTTATATATGTCAGTCATCTCTCTGTCCTCTTGCTTCATATTTTAGAATAGAAATAATAAAAGAACATCTTTCTTAATAAGGGTGAAATCTTTTACTGTTTAATATTAAGCATGGCCATTAAGTATAGTTATTGCTTATAAATTACTGGTAAATGATAGGTGTTTACTATGATTTTAAACTAACAACTTTTTTGGGGTCATTTTCTTTAATGTTGCTATGACTTTCTGTGAAGAGTGTTTCTTTCTCATGTGTCCTGCCTGCTCAGATTTCTCTACTTTAGCATTTTCCAAGCTCTGTTCAACATGATCATTTCTGCAGCTGGAAATGACTTAAAAATTCCTTCCCCTCCAAAGTTTTCTACAGCACTGCTTGTTCCTATAATTCTGGATGGGGGGGGTAGACTTTTTCTACAGTTGCCTACTGCTTCAGTAGATGAAAAAACATAGCATAGTAAAATGACTTGTCTAGAGCTAAATATCTGTTCATTTTTTGCAATGTTTTCTTAGTTGTTTTGTTCTTAGTAGTACTGTGGATTGAATTTAGGGACTCTACCACTTGTGCATACCCTAGTCCTTTTTGCTTTTATTATTTCAAATAAGATCTTGAACTTCTTCCCAGACCGGCCTCTGGCCACAATATTCTTTCTGCCTTCCAACCAAATGGTACTACAGGTGTGTGCCACCATTTCAAGCTTGTTTTTTATGTAAAACCTCACTAATTTGCCAGGGTTGGCCTCAAACTACTATCCTCCTCTGTGTACAGGTATGTGCCACAATTCTAGGTCCAAAATTTCTCCCATAAAGACTCAAATACAACCTTGCTAAAAGACTGTAAGAACCTTGCTTTTTATTTAAAAGCGTAGGTATGAAACTAAGCCAAAGTATTATAAATTCTGTTTTCAATTTAATTACCCAAAAAATAATACTGTAGCTAAGATAAATCCCTCAGTTTATTGTGTAAGACTAATTGTAGTCTTGAAAATTATAATATTTACTTTGAATTTCCTCCTTGAAATGAAGAGAACTATTTTCCCCTCTCCTTTCTATTTATCATTACTCATCTTTGCAAGAAATATATACTTTTTTTAAGGTTAGCTCTGGTATATATACTATCCTGCAAAGAGAAAAATCTTGAAAGTTTCTTGAGAATTGCATT